CTGTCCCAGAACTGATTATTATTACATCGTTCAGGGAGTCTGTATCAAACCTGTAGCTCTTGAAGTAGCTCCCAGTTTCAAAAAGGTCAGTGACCCCTGCTCTAGAGTTTTCATATGTGAACGAAGTCTCTTAAAAATCAGTTTTTGTTTTCATGACCTGTAGCTCAAATACCCGAGGTGGTATTTGAAAGACCTAGCATGACAATGAGAGAAAACACACTTTACAGGATTCAAGACCATCTTTCTTTGTTACTCTCTGCCGTCTTGACTTTCTGTCTATTTCTACACCTTAACCTCCTGTGTATGCACCAATCAGACATGGGAATTAAACCAACTGCCAGTTTAAATGTCATGGGTGATTGCTAGGTGCCTTTTTTTCTGTTTTTCCTTTTCATAATAAAAGTGAAGGCGCCATGCTGTGCGTATTCATATCAGAGGTGTGTGACATCGATTATTAAAATGATCGTCACCTGCCAGGCGTTCATTCTGTGCCGTTCTGTCTTTAAAGTGACACTTTCAATAGCTACAGGGAAATCAATCGGTCGCTTCGAAAAATTATATGTAAATGTGATTTGTTGTGGTCCCAGCGCCACCTGAGTCATCTCTCCTCTCCCAGGAAACACTGATTGTTTTCTAAATCTTTCAATTACAAAAGTTGAGGCGTGAGGCATCACAAAGAAATAATTTAGTCTAAATTATGCTTTGCTTTGACTCGATACAGCAGGGTTGGATTTACATCTCATTCGGCTGTGCACACAAAGAGGTTCCCAAGAACGTCCTGAATAATTTGTGTATAACATTACAAACAATACGTTTATATTTGATAAATGCTGTAGAATACCATTTTCTCTCCCAAAAAAATGACACAGACTTCCTTGTAAATGTGCAGTAGTAGACGATGATATTCTGTGACTCGTACTAAAAAAAGATACTGGTCCAATTTGAACTTCTTACACAGCTACATGACTCCCCTCGTCCCCAGAGGATAAAGAGCCGTAGCTCACAGATTAGCGTTCGCCATACCTAATTATCCACCGCTAATTAGTGTGAGGAAAAAAGCAATCAAAATGGCTACACCTGTCTAATTATATACAAGTCAAACTGCATGGAATTGGATGCAGAAAAAAGTTGAGTGATGACGGTCTCAAGGCTGGACCCCTGTGCTGACAACCAGTTTAATTGGTTTAAATGGGAGGTTGGTAATAAATTAGCAGATCATGGTTGAGAGGTAGCAAAGACTTAATGGACGAAGTTGTTGATTGATTTGCTAACCTTTGGTTTAAAAACTTTTGAAGATTAATGGAAGTACAAAAAAATGTTTTTTTAAATAGACGGAGTATGAAAAATATGTTGGGGATCGCAGAGAGTTGAAGGATTCTCTACATGTCCAGCAGGGGTGCTGTTAGCAAACTTTAGTGCTGTATTTCATTTGTAATGTTCTAGAATTCTAACCTAGGCCTGAACAGTGTGATCATAATGACGCCTTTACAGCTGCGACATAATACATCAATAATAACATACTAAAAATACAAGATTAATAAAATAAGTTCTCACCAAAACTTCTGATTATCTGGAAACAAATTCCGTCCTCGGAGCTTCCAAAAACGGTTGTACAGATTATCCGGTTCTAACAAGTTTCTGTCGCTGTCGATGCTAATGCTAAAGTCCAGCCGTATTCATGGAATATTATGATTCAGTTCGATGCTAATGCTAAAGTCCAGCCGTATTTATGGAATATGTTTCAGTTCGCTTTAGGCTGAAACTTTCCGCTCGACAGAAACAGTGGACACAGAAAACTTTGACATTTCGCGTCAATCAAGTTAGTACATGTCACTTCCTGGATTTTCACGCCGTGTTCTCTAACCATCCAATCAAATCGCACAAATCGCCAACGTCACTACAACGTTCTACTGCTAGAAGGCCGTGGCGCTGCCAACTCAAAATCCGAGGTAAAATAATTGATTCCGTTGCCATTTAATTTACTCTCTGGCTTCAGGGCAGATTTCTTTCACCACGGCAACACATGATGGCTGAAATATGATTGGATGAAATAAAAATAAAATAAAATAAATCGAATATACACAATTTTAAACAACACAACCAAGAGAAATGGTATAAAAGGATGAGAACAGTCAAAACAGTTGATCATTATTCATAATAAATATATTGAAAAATAAGTCACATTTTTTATTTTCTGTGCAACCTAATAATTACAATTCATTTGTGTTTTTTACACTTTTGTTTATTTGAAAACAAGTCTTTCCAGTATTTTAAGCGAAACAACCAAGTGCTTAAAAGAACGCATCGATACTTCTTGCTGAGTTGCTTCCGTCTGTGCCTCCAGGCTGATAAAGGAGCAGTGAAAAATCTGCTCTACCCCTTTGTACCCACAGGCATAATAACACTGGCATTAAATAGCTCTCTTTGGTCCATCATCAGTCCACGGGGAACCGCAAACCTGGGACTTGCTTCCTACTGGCATTTGTGTTGGAATATTTAGGCATCCCAAGAGCCGCAGCTTGAGGGCGACTGACAGAACGGCTCCTGTGCTGTAAAGGATCTGATTGAAATCCACTGGAAATCAACCCCCTCCACCTCGCCGATCACTCTTCGGCACGGCAGGCTCCAGATGGTGCTGCCATGTACATCTCTTTTATTTTGCTTCATTGGCACAAAGACAACTGGCGCTGGGGAAGAAGAGAGCCAACCTGTGGTTGTCCTTCATGAGGAGAGCAGCGAGAAGAGATTTCATCAGCTCGGCCCGCTACGTGGAACTGATGTAATGCTGTAGAAATATTGCAGGATAAGTTATTTCAGAAACAGCTTCCAAATGCGTGTGTGAAAGGATTATTAATACACTTCAGTGTCAATGATAGCGCTCTTTTTTCAGTGCATCGTCGATTACTTACATATGTACATTATATATTAAATAAAACACTCCAAATGTTTTCATGTTGATTCATTTGTGAAATTAATATTACAACTGCAGGAAAAAAAAGTCTTTGCTTTAATGAAGCACCTCAAGCTTAAAATACCATCTCAGTGTTCTACAATCCATCATGAACATGTGCTGAACTACGACTGAAAGCCATCAACTCCATGGAGCTGAAGTTTTAGTATAAACTTTAGGTTTCTTTTCTTGACATTTCCATATTCCGTCATTCGGTTTCTTTTCTTGACATTTCCATATTCATATGTCCGTCATTTGGATTAGTGAAAGAACAGAAACTCATGTGAAACTCAAACATCTTTCCTGCTGTTATTCATCTTTCTGTTCCAGCAACAGAAATATTTAAAGGATGTTGATTAATCCACAGCTAACCTGTAATTTATATGATAAAAAAACCTTTCATTGTTCTGTTATTCATCTTTCTGTTCCAGCAACACGCACATTAATCATGATTAATCTAGTAAAGAACAATTTGAATTGACAAACTTTGTTTGTTTTTTTTTCTCAAAAGTTCAATTCAAACTGTCTAAATAACATATGTTTCAATGGACTCCCACCACTATTTGTCCTTTTTTTTTTCCCCCTCACTTTTTGCTCTTTTTCTTAACCTTCAGCTCTGAGGGATTGGGATTTGTCTCGCCACCTACAGGAAATTTCTGCCTGCTTGAATTGAGACGTTCTTGACAACCACTCATCTTGTTGTCTTTGGGCCTGGCAGGTGTACTTTTGAAGCCTCCAGCGAGTGTGTTTTTCCCCAGATGAGCCGCTTGCAGAAAATGTTATAACGTCGCCGTCCTATATGGAGGGAAGTGAAACGAACATCAGAAGGGCAATGAATCACAAGGACATTTACAACATGCAGATGCGAGTGTCACAACACTTTCCATGAGTGACACCCACTTATTCCAAACACTATGGGGGCAACTGGGTGAAAGTCGTTCGTGAGATTACTACTTTATTAAGTTTCACTTTGAGTCGTTACCGCTGTGGTAGGATCCTGTATTTGTTTACAATCTCGCTGAGTTAAAATAAAGTAAAATATAATACAATACAATAATACAATTCATATATTCAGATTATTATCGTACTAAAAATGTGTAAAATGCTAATTCTAAACTTTTTGGAATTTGTGTTAAGCAACTTTCTAAATGTTGCTGCAATTTTCTGTATTTCCTCAATACGGTGGTTCTCAAACTGTGGGTCAGGGCTGTGATGTTGCTGAGGGCAAATTTATTTTTATTTATTTTTAATATTGTCATCGACATAGAGTCCTATCTTATATATATAGAGTCCTAGCTAAAAAGAATTTCAAAATTAGCTATAACTCTGAACTATAAAGTAGGAGATTTTTATTTGTATTTTTTTAGTTTAGTCTTTACATTTTATTTTCACACTTCAAACTCAGTTTAAACTTCTAATCATTGGCCCTGGTTGGATGAAATCAAACACACACGGTCTTTGCTGCTCTGCTAGTTCATACCTGTCTGCCACCACATTAAACCCAGTCACCTGTTTAACTGTCGCGGCTTATTGTTGGAAAGTTGCAGCGCAGCGTTCTATAGTCAATGTGCCGACTGATCCGGTCCACAGGAGTCACTGTTGTGGAGAGTCATTCAAAACCGGCTTCATCACTGCATGCAGCCGTGATGAACTTCAGCCTGACTGAGTCACTTCAAAACTTCCGAGAGGCCGTACAGGACACCTCGAGTGTCGTCAAGGCATGTGGTGCGAACATATGTTTGCATAAATACCCCCCCCCCGCTCCATGCATAGTCTATCCCTGGTTAATTCATTCTATATATTCTCTCAGAAGTAGCAGCCAGTCAATCCCTGACATTATCAATTCAAGGTTGTTGCCCAAAGGGATCAACATCTAAAAGGAACGTTTAATCTTGACCTTCTGAATATCAATCAGCAACGTCCACTCGCCAATATCTGCGCACGTGTGTGTGTGTGTTTATGGGCTATATGCGCACACACTGACACACAGGAGCATCTCAGTGCATTTAATGGTACTGTGTAAAAGAAAAAATAAAAATAAAAAATATATGTAGTAAATACATATATTTATATGTATATATATATATAGATTTATATACATACACAGTTTACATTTTTTTATATTTCTCTCTCTATAAATACTAAATATATACTAAAAATATATATACATATATATATGTTGTCAATTACATAGTGATGTAAAAGTTTCTTTAGCTTCTTTTTTTTTTTGTAAAAAATAATTTTACATAAACTCCACAGGTAACCAGCGGCGTGTCTTTGATAACGTATGTAAATGTCTGACCTTCTGGAGGAGCCGTTTCTCACAGTGCGACGCACTTGAATCGCAGCTGTGTTTGAAGTCATAGCTCACCTCTCTCCGTGCCCACAGCGTTCCCAACAAGTGGAAAAGTAAACAGCCCTGAGTGCTCCTCTCCTCTCCTCTCCTCTCCTCTCGTCTCCTCTCGTCTCCTCCCGC